GTCAATGGAAGTGAATCATCATGGTGAGCCATGACCAGCAGTGTCCCCCCAAGGCTCCATCCTTGGATCTGTTCTCTTTAACAACTTTATTAACAATGTGGACACTGGTGTCAGAAGCGGACTGGCCAAGTTCGTCGATGACACTAAACTTTGGGGTAGAACATCCACACCTGAGCAAGATTCCCTCCAAGGTGTACATGTGTGTGGCTGCGCACAATTTAAAATCTTGCTGTGCACCAACATTTTAATGACGCACACCCACCTGGAGAGGAGCTGGGTGCGGAGCGCAGCAGAGGTATCAGGAGCCTGGTGGCGTGGGACATTTACCAGACATAAGCTCCTCACTCCTCCCCACCAGCTCCTCCCCAGGAGGTGAGGCAAGGTGGGGATGGGGACAGGGGCTGGGGCAGAGTGCCTTCTTGTGGTGCTGGGGAACTGCTCCTGCTGTTTTATTTTACCTTGTTGTGGCTGGAATCCACCACCTCTTCTGCTGCATCTGGTATGCCAGGACATTCATTTAGTTACTGGCTGAGCGGGGGAGGAGTTCCTGGCCCCGGCCCCGGAGAGGGATCAGGGGGCCCCAGAACTACATCCCACAGGGGGTCCCGAAAGATTGTTGGCTGGCCCTGCATGTGTTTTCCCTCTCATACAAGTTTTACACCACTGTAAGTTTCTATTTTTCAATTAAGTCACTGCTGATTTGCAAAGGCATAGATGAAAAGAAAATATGAGCCTATAAACACCATAGAAGGAAACCATTGCATGTAAGCAGTTTACATGACTTCTGATGGTGCACAGAACTCTTTTACTGCTTTCTTTATTTTACTTTTCTTTGGCACAATGTTTGGGTAAAGCTATTTAATTTAATATGTAAGTACCTATAGGAGTTACTTCATCAATACACACTCAAGTACTGCGGTTATGCTGGTATCTGATTTTATGTGAGAGGAATCAGACCCTAACCCTCCAGCTGTTTGTGACTTGTGACAATTTTAACTCTTAAATCTGTTCATGAATGTATAATAACCCTGTCCCAGGGATAGCAAGAAGAGGGACCAGGAAGCCCTGCCCACGGGGCACAGTGTGGGAAGAAACGTGAAAAGAAAGAAAGAAATACAAAGCAACTACTTACCTGCAGGAGGAGCGACACTGGAGGTTCGAAGAAAAGAGCCTGCACGGTTTACAAGCCACGCCTTTATGCAATTAAAGCCAGTGGGTGATGTCATGAAGACATACCAGCTGGCAGGGATAAAAGCGGCCGCTGGCAGTAAGGCAGGGAGAGCCAGTGAGGAGGTGGAGGCTCTCAATGCCGGCAGCGGACTAAACCAGCACGAACTAGGAACACCCGGATGACAGGCGGCTGCTGAATCAGTGAGGCTCCCATGCACCGGGGGTGCTGAGACCGAGTCCCAGGAGGGGAGGAGCACTGGGGTGACTTCCCCCTAGAACCACCGAGGAGGTTCGGCGGTGGAGACGCCGAATGGCGACATAACCGGCACAGTGAGCCAGAGAAAGAGGCTGAGGTCAACCCCGGGAAGGCATAAGTGTTCCCACTCGACTGCTCCTAGGTACCAGGTCAGGGAACTGGGCTAGGGGCGGAAAGGAAAGAGGGACCCCGTGGGACCAGCATTGGGGGAGCACTGCCAAACACGGGCAGGAGAGCTGGAAAAGCCGACAAGTAGGACACCGGATGGGAAGATCCTTTGGGATTTTTTTTTTTTTTTTGCTTCTTTTCTTTGTTTGTTTTCTTTTCCCCTGATCGCGTTTGTTTTCTTTACCCCTGATCGACAGGGGCACCCATACCACCCCCAGGAATAGAGCCAGCCAGCTCAAGGGGGTCTCAGGCTTAGAGCCCAAGCCAGCTAATTATCCTTCCCCCAAGGAAAAAAGTGGGGTACAATAGGGCACGAGGAACATCCACACTGGAAAGGTGGCCGTTTCAAGATGTGGCATCCCACCTGAGGTTGGTGTAAGGCTGGGGTGTTGGAGAGGTGGAGCCCCATGAACATCCCCCAGCGGAGTGGTCATCCCTGAGGGGACCTTCAAGGCCAAGCCCCACACTGACATAACATTCAAAGACATGGCAGGAAAGTTCAGGGAAGGCCAAAGGGACAACTGAAGCCCACCTCAGAGAGTCCATGAAACAAAAGAGCATACGCCCCTTTCAGTTTGGGCCAAGGCGGCATGCGAGCCAGCGTTCGAAGCCAGGTGGGTGCAAACCCATAAACCCAATACCTTATTGCTGTCCTTGAGACACATTGCAGAGCCCCACCAGGATTAAGCAGAACTCAATTACTATTCAAGCGGTCATATGTTTGTTACGCTATTAACGGGAATGGACTGAAGTGGCGCACTCATGGACCGAAACAGCATGCTCATGGACCGAAGCAGCACACTCACGGATCGCTACACCTTAGAGGAAACATTGCACCTGAGGATAGGCTGGTGATCCAGGCTGACCTGGATAGCCTTAGAAAGTGGGTGGATATAAACCTGATGACATTCAATACTGATAAATGCAAGATACTCCATCTCAGGTAAAAAAAACCCGCAGCACAGGCTTGGCAGTGCTACGCTCACTAGCACCACAGACTTGGGGGTCATGATTGACCACAAGATAAACATGAGCCACCAACGCGATGTCACAACTGGTAAAGCAAACAAAACTCTGGCTTGCATCTATAGATGCTTCTCAACTAAATATCAGGATGTCATCCTCCCGCTGTACTCGGCCTTGGTGAGGCCACAGCTGGAGTACTGCATCCAATTCTGGGCTCTGCAGTTTAAAAAGGATGTGGAGAAGCTTGAGAGAGTCCATATGATCAGAGGGCAGGAGAACAGGCCTTATGATGAGAGGCTGAGAGCCATGGGACTCTTCAGCCTGGAAAGGTGCAGGCTCAGGGGAGACCTGGTGGCTGCTTATAAGTACATAAGGGGTGTGCATCAGGATCTGGAGGAACACCTGTTCACCAGAGTGCCCCAAGGGATGACAAGGTCCAACAGTCACAAATTCGTCCAAGACTGTTTTAGGCTGGATGTCTCAGGGCACAAAGTTGCCTGTTCCTTTAAGGGCAGAAACTGCCTAGGGAGAGAGCCCTAGCAGTCAGTTAGGAACCCCTCAGATGCAAGTTACCATGGCAACAGGGATGAGGACCCCGCACCTGCAGGTGGTCAGCTGACCAAAAAAGGCAGGGCCTGGGGCATATATAAACCCCAGGGCTGGGACCAGAGAGGCAGTTCTCTGTCAGCAGCCAAGGGGGAAGGAGCTGTCTTAGAAGAAGCCAAATGGAGATACTGCCTGTGCTACTTCTGGTAGGATTAAGAGGCTCCAGGAACTCACCAGGGACTCTGGCCTGCAAGGCACTTAGTGCTAGGGGGGAGGTTTAATGTTTTAAAGGGACAGAGCACCCCCTGAACTGATTGCATTATGTTATAGCCCAGGGGCTCATATTTTGATCCTGTTTGTAGACCGGAGGATCGGGCTGAGGCTGTTGGGGAAGGAGGAGGCCTCATTGGGGGCCCACTACAGTGTGGGGACCCCAGCACCAGAGAGGGCGCAGTTACTGAGGCCAGACTAAGCTGAGGCCTCAATACAAGGGGACAACATCTGTATACCATCTGCGAGGCTTGGGGCATGGTAAAGGGGCAGTTTGGAGCCACTCATCTAGCCCATTAGGCTGAGGGGGGTCCCATGAGGCATCCATTTTGGAGCAGGACCCAAAAGGGGTCCAAGAACCCACAGGGTTCAGTGGGGTCCATCAGGGCCGTGCCCAAAATATAAACTAAAGGGAAACCTCCCTATTTATTACAGTGACAGAAAGACATGGCAGGAAAGAAAGAGGGTGCCTGTGGGGCAGGATTGGCATGGTCAAGGAGCCCTAGGGGTATCACGGCCATCCCTGAGGACCACATCCCATGACACCGGACATAAGGAAAAACTTCTTTATGGTCTGAGCCCCCAAGGCCTGGAATATACTTCTTCCAGAGGTGGTGCAAGCATCTACTCTGGACTCTTTTAAGAAACGTTTGGACACTTATCTTGCTGGGATCCTCTGACCCTAGCTGACTTCCTGCCCCTGGGTAGGGGGCTGGACTCGGTGATCTTCCTAGGTCTCTTCCAGCCCTAATGTCTATGAAATCAATACCCTGTCTAGTCTAGGGATTGGGTTCGTCTTGGGTGTGAGAAGAAGTAACTACCACACCTGACCATTTGCAAGTACAGCCACTTTTGTTTCTTAATTACATGTATTTGGCCAGAATGCCCCTTGGGTGTGTGCTAAATACCTAACCTGACTACCTGTGAGTTGCATCATGAAATTACAAAAGTTTGTTTATATCACGTCCTATACAGGCATAACAATGACAAAACTGAACACCGCTTCATACTAGCTACAAATAGAGGCCAAACACCACAGGGGTAAATCTAATTTGGGAAAATATCCAGGTATACGGCATTGTGAACCCCAAAGGCAACTTGGTTTTGGAGTGTGAATCCATGACACTAGGAGCAATGGTCTCAAGTTGCAGCAAGGAAAGTTTAGGATGGATATTAAGAAAAACTTTCTCACTAGGAGGATGGTGAAGCACTGGAACAGATTACCTAGAAAGGTGGTGGAATCTCCATCTTTGGAGGTTTTTAAGGCCCAACTCAACAGAACCCCGGCTGGAATGATCCAGTTGGAGATGGTCCTGCTTTGAATGAGGAGTTGGACTAGATGATGTCCTGAGGTCCCTTCCATCCCTCCCTAATTTTCAATTATTCTCTGACCATTCCCTTTCTGTTCCTGCCTGAATGCTCTAGATCCAGAAATGCACCAGTAAATATGCTCCAGATTATCCCTCTGCATCTGCTTTTGAGACCTATGAGGCCAAAACTCCCTTCTGCCTCCAAACATAAATACATTGCTGTGGTTATAGTTTGTTAGTTAATTTGGTGCTATTATTGAGCTATATTGAAACAAATATAAAAAATCATAACACTGACAGTGTTTCCAATATAGACATGAAACCACTGGTGTCATGACAGTTGAAGTGCAACCTAGTATGACTGGAAAAGCATGTTCAACAGTCAGAAAGGTGAGTTTTATAGTTCAAAAAGATCATTTGGATAAAATCTACTGGTCTTACATCTTAGTTTCTTAGGGTGAAATTCTCTTCCTTTGACATCAATTGGAATTTTACTATTGATGTTACTGGGACCCTAATTTTACCCTGATGGTAGAGACATATGTAACTTTCAGCTGCTTTAAAAGAAAAGGGGGAGCTGCTGCTTTGGAGTTGCACAGCAGCTATTATACTTCAATTGTTAGGCCTGCATGAACCTAAAGCACTACAATTTTTATTTATTCTTTTATCTAGAATAAAGCAAGGGTAAAGTTGAAGCAGTTTTGGTACACTTGTATCACTATAGGATCATGCAGTTGTAAGAGCTGTAACAGCTTGTATCTGTGTCATTTGACATCAATACAACTGTTACATTTTTCTATACCCTGAGGCTTAATCTCCAGTAGATATTATTTTCATTAACTACAACCATGTTCCCTGACATTACCTGTATGCTGTCTAAATAGAATTCAAAGGAAGAAGAGGTTACAGCTTGGTGCTGCTGATGTTGTCCTGTGGGGCCAGGCCAACTCTCAGGATTTCAATATTACACTGTTAGACAGGATGGCGTGGTGTACAATTGCACATGCACAAATCAATTACACACACACACACACTCTGCCAACTCAGGCACATACACATCCAATACACATACATAGATCAATCATTCATATATCATGTACACAATGATACAGAGATATAGATAGAGACATAATACGCCAGTTCACGTATATACCACCCAACACATACACACAGGTGAGTTTCTAACTTGGGTGGTGTGGGGTGTATGTGTCTGCTTAGGGTACTTGGGATACCTAGGGTGCTTGGTGACTATGGGAGGGGGAATGAAGGGTCAAAGATCTCCAGAAGGAAGGGAAGGAGGGAGATGGATGGGGGTTAGAATTAAAGTTGCTGGGGCCAGGATTAGAACTGGGGGACTGGAAGGGAGCTGGGGTTACTTAAGGTCAAGTGACCCCAGGGTTACTTGAAGTTACTGGTGCGAGGGAAAAAGCCCGGTGGCAAAGAGGAGACAGCCAGGAAAGAGAGAGAAGCAGAAAGCTGGGAGATCAGGGCTGGAAACTGAGGCAGAAAGCTGGGAGATCAGGGGGCAGAGAAGTGGTGGAAAGGAGGAAAGAGTCAGGAAACAGACGAAAACCCAACTCAGGGTTTCAAAATAACAGGTTTATTAAACAGACAACACACTACACAGCCCCATGAAGTTATTGGTTTCTGCACACACACACACACGCACTCACAATGGTAGCAGGACAAAGAGACTCAGTGGAAGGGTTGGAGTCCAGGTAGGGAAGAGAAACAGAGTCCAAGTCCTTGGTTGAAGAGAGGGTGGGGGTGATGGCTCGCTATCCAGGCTGGAAGGGGGTCCTCGATGGCCAGTCAGGGACTTTGTCCAGCAGGTGTTGTCCAGAGGGGGTCACCAGCAGGGTCTCTGGGGTAGGTAGGTGGTGTGGCATGGTGCTGGTCCAGATGGAGAGGGTGTCCCAAGGAATCAGTCTTCACTACCCCTTTTTATGGGGCAGACTACCTATGATCTCCTATGAGGAGGGCATGTCCAGGCAAAGTCAGCCCTATTCCAGATGGTTCCAGGTGTTCATACTGATCACATGCAGCCTTGGCACAATGGTGGGTTGGCTGGTTTCTGCAGCAGTCTTTGTCTTCCAAATCTTGAGCCAGGGAGGGTCAATGCAGGGTGATGGTTGGGTCGTCGAGTTGATGGTTCAGTTATTCAGAGGAAGCTATTTTTAGACCTACTGCCATTGTCTCTCAAGCACCTTCACTCATCCCCATTCATTCAGGAGCCAATTTACATAGGAGGGGTAGATATGAGTCACACCGTTACAACAGTTACAATAGGGTATGCCTGGGCAGGGGACACAAGGAGACTTGACATTACAAGATGGAAACTTGACATTACAGACACAGGCCTAAACCATACAGTATTAATATGAAACAATAAAAATCAATGCAAAATACAATATAAAACAGTAAAAAAATCAATACAAACATAACAGAGCAATATTTACAATATAAAAAGGGGCTTTTTACAATAATAGCATACAAGAATTTAGCCTAGCTTACCTAGTATTACTTGTAATCACTTATAAGGGATAGAGAGGGCAGAGAGAAAGTCAGAAATGGTTAAGGGAAGGGGAGGGAGTATATTTTTAAATACTAATAAAAAAAAAGCAAAACTGGGGGTTTTGCTACACTGAGAAAGTGTTCAGGAGCGATAAGGGACAAAATGGATCTCGCATAAGAAAGAAACCACTGAAAGAAGTAGAGTTCTGCAGAGCTGTCCGAAAAGCTAAATGAAGCAGCAGGACCCATCAGCATAAAATTCTCAAATATCCTTCCTCAGCTGGGATAATAACAGCTTGGAAAAAGCTGTCCTGTAGTCTCCCAAAAATGTAAAAAAAAATCAAGAATTTGTCCAAATGTAAAAGCTGGGTCCTGGAAAAATGCATGATGTCTTGGTATCATGCTATGGAAGCAATGCTGCTTTATGCTGTAGTGAGACATGCTGTGTCTGCTTTGGGCATGCTATTCAAAAACCAGGAACGTAGCCACCTTAATGCTGTGTTGCATATGCACCAGCACTGCCACTAACTATATTGTCCTGGTTCAAACTACCATAATTTCAGTAGCCTTTAAGGTAGCAACAATACCTCAGTTCAAACTTGTGAACCTTCATCCTCAAGACTTTTTATCTGCAAAGCTTAAAAGCTCCTCAGCACTGAGGCTAGCCCCCTGTGAAACTTTTAAGTTTTGGGAGTGGTGCACTGTATTCACTAATTGTCTAAGGAATTCAAATGTCCTTCTTGATAGCTGGAATCTATTTAAGTGATCTATTTATCTTTTACAGTAAAAGGGCATTAATAGAAAAACAGGTTTAAAAATGTGTTTTTTATTTGAAAATATCATTTAAATAATATAATAAGGTATAAACACATTTGTCAGTGCTGGCTTAGTTGCAGCAGATACATATTTTGATTAATATCAAATTGATTTATACATGCCTTTATGCTGCTATCCATTGCAACATGGTTTGATTTTTTTTAACTGATTTATTGTATGTAAATACATATCAGAGATGTACTATAGATAATCACTATGTGCACACACACACACACACACACTGCTTAGCACTCTTAATTGGTTCCTGAAAAAACAAGCATTAAGTAAAACCAAGTCTTAAGCGAAACCAACTTTCACTTTCACTTTTCAGTTTCTAAAGCCACCAGAATCACTTTCTAAGCCACCAAAATCACCAGAATCAGGGCTGTCAGGATTAATGTCAGTTTCAGTGCCAGGTGTATGATGCCTGTGAGTGTTATAATGAAACTCGCTGAGCACTAAGTGGAATCAGGTATCGATGTAAAAAGAGCATTATAGGTGAAATAGCACTAAGCAAAATAGTGTTAAGCAGCGGTTTCCTAGATATATAACATAGATCCGTTTAATTTATTTAATTTCAGCTATCTTATTTATTTGTTGGGTGTCCTCCATCAAGACATATTGTCATTCAAACGTAAGTTTTAATGATCCCTTTTCCAATCCTTGTTTATTTCATTTGGGATTAAAATAAATGTTGATAAAATAGCAATATTTGTCTAAATATACTTCAGTTGGTCCATCTGGAAAATGTTTTTCTTTCTAATTAGAAGGAAAAACCTGAAGAAGACCTGAAGAGGGGCCCTTTGTGCCTGAAAGCTTGTCCAACATCTCTCCCAGCTACACAGGAGACAATAGAAGATGAGCCCTACAGCCCACAAAACTCCACCCTGCAGACATCCAGTCCAAATACCAGGGAAGGTTAGGGCATTAGTTGGGCTACTCTAACATTAGCAAAAGCTCCCAAAGACCTGTCTGTCACTGCAATTTAGCAGACCACAGTGGCACACTCAGATTCAACCCTCTTGTTCCCCCTTGGCATAGTCCCTATGCCATGATTTTGAGAAGATCGTAGAAAAAAACAGCTAGAAGGGATGACCAATGGTCATCTTGTCCATCTAGGCAGGATCACCCCTAACTAAACCATCCCAGCCAAGTGCCTGTCTAACCTGCTCTTGAAAATGTCCAAGAATGAAGATTCCACAATTTCTCAAAGTAACCTGTTTCAGTGCTTGACTCCCCTCATAGAAAGCTCCTCCAAATCTCCAACCTAAATTTCTCCAGCTACATCTTGAGGCTATTGCTCCTAGTCCTGTTTCCTGTAGCTACAGAGGCAATCCCATTTCCATCCTCTTTGTAATTTGCCCTTCAGGTATTTGAAGACTGTTATCAAATTCTCTCTCTGTCTTCTCTTCCCTAGAGTAAGTAACTCTAGTTATTTCAGCCTTTCCTCATAAGTCTTGCTTTCCAGGCCCTTAATCATTTTTGTTGCTCTGAACAGGACTCATTTAGATTTGTCTCCACTCTTTTTAAAGTGCGGGGCCCAAAACAGGAGACAGTACTCCAGGTGAGGCTTCACTAGGGCTGAATAGAGCAGAAAATCACTTCGCTTGCTTTGCAAGTGACATTACTGTTAATACAGCCTAGGATGCTAATGGCCTTTTTATTTTTGTTTTTATTTTTATTTTTTTGCAACAAGAGCACACCATTGGCTTATTTTCACCTTGTAGTCTACTGCAACCCCCAGGTCCTTCTCTGTAATACTGCAACCTACCCAGTCATTTCCCAGTCCATATTTGTGCATGCAGTTATTCTGTCCCAAGTGTAGGACTTTGCACTTGTATGTGTTGAACCTCATCTGATTGATTTCAGACCATTTCTCCTGTCTATTCAGGTCATTCTGGATCCTAGTCTTACCCTCCAGAATATCTGCAACTCCACCCAACTTGGTATCATCCACAAATTTACTAAGCATATACTTGATCCCATCCTCCAAATCATTAATGAAGATATTAAACAATATCGGACCTAGAACAGACCCCAGGGGAACCTCACTTGATACCTCCTCCCAATAAGACATTGAACCATTGACGACTACTCGTTGAGTACGATGATCCTATCAGCTATGTATGTACCTTACTCAACTTTCATCTAATCTGCTTTTCCTTAGCTTTTAAATGAGAATGTTGTGAGACATGGTGTTAAAAGCCTTGCTAAAGTCAAGGTATATTATATCCACTGCTCTCCCTCCATCCACAGGGCCTGTCACCTTATCATAGAAAGGAATAAGGTTGGTCAATCATGACTCTTCTTGGTGACTACATGCTGGCTGTTCCTGGTCACTTTTTTTTCCCCTCCAGGTGCTTCACAATGGATTCCTGGAGGACCTGCTCCATGATCTTTCTAAGTACTGAAGTCAGACTGACCAGTCTGCAGTACCCCTGAAAGTCCTTCTTCCCTTTCTTAAAGATAGGCACTAGATTTGTCCTTTTCAGTCATCCAGGACCTCACCTGACCTTGATGTTTCTCAAAGGCTCTGAAATTAGCTATTTCATTCAGTATCCTAGGGTACGTCTCATCTGGCTCTGCTTACTTGAAAGTATCTGGCTTCTCTAACTTCTCCCTAACCTGTTCTGCCATTCCTCTTGGCTGTTTGACTCCTTCCCTATCTTTGCTGCCAAAGATTGCAGTTGCTATTGGAACACCAATTGACTACGCAGAATTTATGTAAATGGAGAGATATTTTCTGCTCAGGAAATTCATAGCTAGCCAGACATAGACAGTAAGTGTTGCCTGAGAGGAGAGCTAAATCAAGAAAAATAATCTGGCCTATATCCTGTCAGATATCAAAATTATAGGGAAAACTTTTGCTGTGAATAGAGCTCAAAGTACCGAAATATAGGTCAGCTATTGTAAAACTAATGGCAGTTTCTCACACCATATAAATGAAGAGTTCACTCATTTATATTTTCATACATTGTTTTAACCTTAAATCTAAAACCTTAAATTATACCATTCATCTATTTTTTCCATCTTTCCGCAGACCTCCAGGTATAACCTGTATCAAACATAATTTTACTTCTTACAAATTACCTGGGTAAGATTTTTTATTAATAATAATAATAGAGATATACAAAGAAGACTGGGCTTTTTAGATATGGCCTCCTTCACTTTCATGTAGAACTATTTTAATTTAAACAAATTTAGTTATAAAACTATAATTTTTCAGTATGTCTATATTCAAATGCAATTTTCTTTACTTTCAAACAAGAAATATAGTAAAATATAGTACAAATTACTTTAAACAAGTTAGTATCCTTTTAAGGAATGCTTAAATACTATCAACTTGAAACTAAGGCAAGTAATACCACATAACGGGTACATCTACACATGCATTTACTTCGGCCTAAATTTACTCTGGTGTAAACTATTCTGGAGTAACCGTTTTTGGGCAGGCATCTACACATACAGGGATTAAGGAGCAGATTTGCTGCTTTTTGCACCAAGTTTCCTGCAGCCCCGCAATGGGCCCCTGCCACCGCAGGGGGGAGCTCCAGGCTCCCTCTGGCTGCTAGCACAGCTGTCTCCTGGCCCTGGGGGCTGCCTGCTGCTAGGGCAGGGACAGTGTCCCCCTGCCTGGGCAGCAGGGAGCTCCTGCCCCTAGCTCCCCAATCACATGCATGGGGCTTGGAAAGAGCTGCAGGGAAGGGAAGGTCCCAGCCCCCTGCCCTGATCAGTGGGTTAGGCAACTAGCAGCTAGCTCACTGCTAGCTGCCCCACCAGTGAATCAGGGCAGGGTGCTGGGACTTACTCCACCCCTCCAGCTCTTTCCAAGCCCCATGCCTCATCCACCAAACTGGGGCATGGAGTTGGGACCTGCCCCTGACTGAGACAGTTCCCAGCCAGCCCCAGGTTGTGCAGGAAAGTCTGCAAGTGCAGCCCAGAGCTTGCTGGGGACTGCCCAAAATAGGACAGTCCCCAGCCATATCCAGGCTGTATGTGCTTTCTGGGGCTGGCTGGGAACTGTCCCAGTCAGGGGCAGGGCCCCGCCAGCTCCAGGCTGGGTGGGAACTGTCCCCATGCAGTGAGCTCCCAGCCCCTGCTCTGTGATCACAATTACTGGAGAGCTTGTTCCCAGCCCCCACTCCATTATTATGGAATGGGGGCTGAGAACAAACTCCCAGCCTGTTTCCAGCCCCAGCTCCATGATGGCAATCAGGGAGCAGGGCCTGGGAGCTCCCTGCTGCCAGGACATGGGAACATTGTCCCCACCCGGGCATGCATGGTGGGGGCTGAGGAGCTTGTTTCCCACCCAGCTCTATGAACATGGAGCTGGGCAGGAAACAGGTTCCCCAGCCCCCACCAGCAGAATGGTTCCAGCACCAGCTCCAGAACCATGGGAGCACTGATGGGAGATGCTTCTCCCAGCAACAGCCCCACAGTTGTGGATCCGAGCCTGGGAGATAAGGGTCTCTCCCAGCCCCCTGCTTCCTGATTGCGATAGCAGAGCGGGGACTGCCTGCACTCCCCAATCACGATCTCAGACCAGGGGGCTTAGAGCCCCTTGCTGCCAGGGCAGGGGGACATAGTCACTGCCTGGGATCCTATAGCGGAGTCTGCCCCAGCAGCAGGCTGCTCCTATGGGCAGGGAGCTATTTCCCACCCCCTGGTGGACAGCTGACCGGGAGCAGATTTTGCTTCCTGTCAGGTGTCTACACGAGCACTACTGCACCTTTACTAATCTCAAGTAAATTTGCTACTTGCATTTACAGGTAGCAAATTTACTTGGGATTAGGGAGGTTTACTGCATAGTAAGCATGTGCACATGTAGACACACATGCTTACGTCACAGTAAACTATTCTAATGGAAAGTTAAGCTTTCATATAGACACGCCCAATTAGAAGTCATTTGTTACAACACCAGCCCCTGAGCCTCAAAAAATTCAGAAACTATTTTTGTTTTATTCTCTATCATGTCAGTATCTAAAATACTGACACAGAAAGAGGAAAAACCTTATCTTTCACTTGCAGAAATTATTGGGATTTTTGTCATTGATTTAAGTGAAAACAGGATCAAATCTATATTATAAGGGAATCAATGAAACTGACTGAACAAAAAGAGTGAAATCCTGGTCCCATTGGAGTCAATGATAAAACTCCCACTGAATCAGTGGGTCAGTATTTTACCCAATAGACTGTCAAATGCACAGTGTAAAGCTACTGTGGACAGAAAGGAAGAGGAGTTTTCTGCTCTTTGTATCCTTTAGTTCAGCATTTCCCAACTGATGTGCCGCACCACACTGTTGTGCCATCAGGTATATCCAGGTGAGCTGCGGCATTTTGGGCTGAAGCCACGACCTCCACCTGCTGCTGCTGTCTGTCTGGCCGCGCGCCACCCCTCCCCATCAGTGTCTGGCTGGCCGCATGCCACACCCCTCCTCCCCATCAGTGTCCAGGTGGCTGCACGCCACCCCCTCCTGCCCGCTGCTTCATGTCCAGTGTGCCACGGTGCTTTTTTTATTTAGATAAGTGTGCCATGGGGCGAAAAAGGTTGAGAAGCTCTGCTTTAGTTACTAGTTTGGGATACTGCTTATACCAATATTGGTTTTGCATTTTCAGGCACGTTATTTTAAGTTGAGAGTGCCTCTAACATGTCCAGTAATACAGGAGAATTTAGAACTTTATAGAGAAAGATTTGCAAACAAAATAATTTAACTTTTTTTTTTCAAGCCATAAAAAAAAATTGCATGTGACATTTTAAATCATATATATAGGCAAACCAATCCAGCTGGAATCAGAAAGAGAGGGAAATGTTTTAAAAGATGCAAAATCAACAATAAGTTTTCTTTACATTAGGAATTTTTTATGGCACTCATCACCTAAAGATACAGTAAGTGAACTATGGAGTTCTATTTTGATATATCTGCATATTATGTCATGAAATACAACATATTAATACAGCTTTTTTTTAGGTGACAGATTATGATTGGGATAAATATGGCTGTCTAATGGAGGTTTACTATAGAGATCCTTTTCGCCCTGAAATTGCTTTGTAAGTACAATATCGTATAGCAAGAGGCAGATACCTTCCCCAAGGCTGTATAGTGCTGTGAAGCTGCAAAAATACAGCTTCAGTCCAATGGTGAGCATTACGTTAGTAAATATCAATGTTCTGTAAGCCCAGGAAGGAGGATCTACATAAAGAGCACTTATATATATGCAGGCCCAAAACCTGCACTGACGTGCTCAGTTAATCGAGTCCGCTGGAGTGTGCTAATTAGCACGCTCCAGCAGCCTCAGGGTCACATTTATTCAGCATCCCTGTGCTTCAAAATGGCGGCGGGGGGGGATTTAACTAACATTTGTCAAAGGAGCTTTAAACAGCCCCTGCTGCCCTTTTTGAAGTGCAGGATGCTAAGAGCATGAGATGCTGCAGGCTCTTTAATTATTGCTGCTCCCCTTCCCCCCACCCCAGCACATGTAAAGATGGCCAGAGATCCTTTGGTCTCATCCATGTTGCTGCCCTCTCTTTGTCTCAATTCACAGTTATGCAGGGACCCCTGAAACACCTTACCCGTCCTTCACTCTTCTTGCACATAAATACCTTATTGTCCATGATTCTCTCCGTAGCCATGGATTCAAAGGCAGGATTTGTCCATTGGTGTGCTGTTGCTTTTATTCATTGACATTGCAGTTATCTTTTATTTTTTACAGATATGATGGCAACACATTTGTTAAAATGGTTGAGGCAAATTATATTTTATGGGAGATTAAAGGTAGAACTGACTTTGGATACAACTCATCTATGGGAGATGTAAGCCTCCTTTTGTTTAGATGACATTTTTAAATATATCAGATGTAGAATTGGATAGACACAAAGTTTGCCCTTTTTATTTATGTTTACTTTTCTAACTAAGTATAAATAAACTGACAGCTACTCTTTGAAGGGAAGTATTAAGTCACAGGTTTCACTACTTACACATTTTTACCATGTTATTTACTGGTTTTACCAGCATAGATTGTTCAAAATAAATTGCGTGAACCATCAAAATTAAAAGATAATTAAAGAGAAGACAAAAAAGGAAGAAAATACATGGCAATGAGTCAAAAAGTGAACCATGAAAATCACCTTGACTTTTAGTCTATGTTCTTGTGTTTGTGGACAATATATGTGAATAGCTATTTGCTATATGTGACTAGCACATGGCATCCATATGGCTCTTAAAGCAAAATTCTGTGAAGAATATAGCTGTGCAAATTAAATGTAACTGAAAGCAAAATAATGCCTTGATTTTTAGACAGAGTGACAAAGTTTACAGGCTATTAGGGACAGGTCATGCTGTGAAAGCAACATGGGGAAAGCTCGACAATAGAAGCAGGACTGTGAAGCTTTCTGAGCAAGTGCCCTAACCACTCAGCTATTGGGCTGAGACATGGGAGGCTTCTTCTCTGGAGTCTAACACCTGCTAGTAGTGGGTTTCCAGCTGTTTACATTTTCATGCTGCGGAGACTCATTCATGTCCACAACACTGGCACATACATAGTTGTGCTGACTACTGCATGTGCTCAGTGTGTGCGCACATGCTTACGCATCCATTTTACCAGCATTAAAATTACTACCTGCATATATGGCACGTTTGGCACTTAAGCAGCTAAACAACTGACCCTTAGATTCTCAAACCCCTTGCTCAAGTGAACCCAAATATAGACCCCTACACCTTGCACCCTCCATGAAGTAAATAAAACGTTAAGACAATTCAAGTGATTTTAGAGCACTTAGGACAGTTGATCTTTAAATTACTGAATTCTCACTATTAACTACAGTAGAGTTAGGGCCTGCCTACAGTGATTAATGAAGGAGGACAAGTGGGGGTCACTGTCCTACTCATTCTTTTTTAATGCCATAACCTTTCCTCAGTGCTTCACTATATAGGTCCCTTTTTTTAAAGCACATATTGCTTTTGTGGTGCCAACTCCAGACAGAATTCAGTGCAATATTGTAGCTGCTTCTGAGGGCTATAAGTCCACCCATTGTCATTCTTTACCAGCATAATATTTTTGCAACCAGTTTACTACTACAGGCATAATCTTCTCCTTTTAATATTTAATTCTCTTAAAATTGTACCTGGGTACTTTCACCTTAGAAGCTATAAGAGAAATATACATAAAATAGATTGAAACACAATGCCATGCTGTACTCATGTATACACTGCACTGCTACCATCAGCTGATTCACATACACAGAGGCTAATATCATTTTTGTGTATTTTGTATTTTTTAACAGGTAGGCTGTTCACGTGAAGCACAGAATTGGTTTTCACTGCTTGAGAACCATAAAAATCAAGAAATTGAATTAGATGATATTTGGGGGCCACAGGTAGGAAGTTACATTTTTAGAAATAACTTATTAATAATATGAATATATTTTTCAGTTATCCAGTTTGCACTGGATAAACAATTAAATATTTCTCAGGGAGAAGGAAACGTAAACTAAGAACAGCTGCTTTCATATCTGTATACCAGCCTTAGAGTACTTTCTTTTAAAAGTTCTAAAATTACTTGAAAATGTTAACTACCATATTTGACAGTATTTTCCTTACTATTTGAGATGTTATTTCTGCCATTTTCAGAAAAGATTATTATTGAGACATTTACGTAAGTTTCTAACTTTCAGAATAAGTATTTATTGTACCATCTGAGAGAAGACAATAGTTACTTTTGCTCTTGGCTGACCAGAATCCCATTGGAAATTCGGTCCCTCCTAAGACCCCCTACCAGTGCTAATAATGCAAGGTACATAGGAGCCATGGCCTCAAGTCTCATTTTCTCCATCCTAGCCTATGTAGCTGGCTGAATGTGGGGAAGGAGAGTATACTGTACAGACTTCAAAGAGTTACTACCTTGCCGTATATACCCAAGAATTTCTTCTGTGGACTTCAACCATAATGTGACCTCTCCATGCCCCTTCAGACTTAGGGAAGGTACTGTCCTAAGTATGCATTATTGCTTTGAAATATTTTTGAGGCTTATTCATTTTCTATTTATTTTATATTTTGTCTGCCAATCTTGGTTTATTGTACTTGGATCTGGAAACCAATAAGGCAGATCAATAAATCGCCTAATAAGTTTTCTGCACTCAGTAGAAATGCAGTTAGTTAAAGGAATTTTGTTGTTGTTGTTGTTCTGGCTAGATTTGGTTTCCCCTTATCCTGCTATCAAAAGAAAAAGACAGTCAGAAACGGAGTACTTTAGTTAGTCTCTAACTGGTGTATGCTTATTGAATCCTCATGTACTTATCTTTTTTTTTTTAGCTGTCACAAATCCAGAACCCTGTATGTGGGGGTCTGTTTCTAACTGGTTTTCAAAAATAGCCCAAAAGATAACAAAACTCTTTTTTGTTTCTGTTTAGAATTATAACTCCTGTTTTGAGTTCTCACATGAAAACCTGCAAGACCTATCTCAGCAGTATCACATTTTAAACCGCTCTGGTTCAAATTCGCTCATTTGGAACATGGAACAGTCTGGCATTTATGTGTTCAAAGTGAAGATACTGGATCCAAACTTCAGGTTAGCTCTTCATTTTTGCAACATGAAAAGTTTATTTTAATGGTTGATTTAGGACAAAAATGATTAAAAAATACTGCCTATTGACATTTTAAAAATAATTTTGCTTAAGATATACTTTGATCTTAGAAGTTCTTGTTATTTTCCAATACACATAGCTAAAATTGAATACAGTTCAGATACAGTTTTGAAAATCCGCCACCTTTTCTTATTTCAGCTAATAATATTCCTGCTTAAATTCTTAGTCATCTCTCTCCTAGGCTGTTTTCAAGCCAGTCAGTTGGCTGGTCAAAAAATGTCAAATGATTGGTCAATTGACTGTCTGTTAGTTGACCACAGTTAAAAATTGTCAAACATTTCCTGAAACTGAGAATACCCTTGTGTAGGTGGTGATTGTTGTTTATTTGTTTCATTATGTCATCTTCTAGCAAGAGCAGAAGTGAGGGGTCCTTGCCCCTCAGTCCTGTGGAAGTTAAGACAGACACATACACACACGCTCTCACTGTCACAGGAGCAGGCACCTCCTGTCCTGCTCCTCTCTCCTGAGTTTTTCCTTTCCCCTAATTAAGCCATGTGAGGCTGAAGACTTATTTGTTATGCAAACAAGTGGGCACATCTACACATGCATTAACGCACTTAGTTAATACACATGAAATATAGTACCTCAGGGCATTTTTACAAGTGCTCTGGGAGGCATGGAGGGGCTGCTTTAATTAGTGAGCTGTGCTAATTAAAAGGGCCCAAGCGTCACATGTATCAGTGTCTCCAGTGCCAAAAAATGGCAGTGGGGCACTTTCAATTAAAGCTCATTGAATGAGCTTTAGTACAAAGTGCCTCGCCACCATTTTTTGGCGCAGGGACGCTGATACACGTGATGCTAGTCTGCTCTGACGCACTGGATTTCCAGTTCCCTGAACGTCTATAGGAAACTTCCATTGTGAGGTACTAAGAAAATGTGCGTTAGCCTGTCTTAATGCACAGTAACTAAAGAGCATGGGTTTTAAGTGATGTTTAATGCACATTAGCCTATTTTAATGCGCATTAACTAAATAGCACTTTTTTTAGTGATGTGTTAATGTGCATTAAAGTAGACTAATGCATATGAAAGCACACATGTCGAGGTGCCCAGTGATAGCAGGATTAAGCCCAGAGGAGCAACAAGCTTTTAGTAGCTTTTGCAATTTTTAAAGGATATAGAAAAACAAGCAATTCTGACAGAAGTAGCAAACTATCAAGCAAAAATCAGCCAAGTCAGTTATAAAACAATGTGGAATGCAATCCCAGTAATTGAACGAAAAAAGTTTACTCCTTCATTATGGTGGAAAGGGTTATGTCTTCTTGGCAGTTTGGCTATAGTGGCAGAAATGCATTTAACACTTCCATGCACTAATGAATGTACAGAACAAAATTGGTCATTTTGGGGAGTCAACCATTCAGAAACCAGAAATAGACTAAAGATGTCTGCTGCTGGGAAGATGGTGACCATGTATCACAGTTTAAGATAAGAAAAGAAAATGGAAGAGGAAATGTGGACTCAATATTCAGACTAAGAGAAAGACAGATATGCCAATGATGATGAAGATGTAGACAATGCAGTTGAAGTTAATGAAGACAATACAAAGTGAAATGATTGAAGAGTTGGCTTTTTGCCTACTTAGGATTTAACGGTTGATTTTTGTCTTGTAGAGTTGCCAGGTGTGTTTTATTTTTATTTATTTATTTTTTAATTTTGTTATTTTATAACTATTTGGAGTGACCCTGGATTTCCAGAATAAAAGCCAAAGAGAAGATGAACTCTTCAGTCTTGATTATTGTTCACATTTATACTTGCCTAGCATCATTAGTTATAATAATTCATTACAGCTTTTTTCAGAGTTGTATTTCATTGGTTCACAATAACAGCTAACTAATGCTTTTGTAACTAACATTAAATCTCATACCTATTGAACATGAAAGGCACTCTCTTTACTTTTCTAATAAACTGATGCTTTAAATATTTGACCATTATTTGACAATATTTGACCAATCAATTGATCCAGTACTTTTTGGCCAAATACCTAACCCTACATTCTTCCTACTTTTACAGAATGGAAAGTGAAATCTTTCTATCTCTATGAAATGGAAGGCAAAAGCCCCTTAGCCCAGCAGTTTGTTAACTGAAGCCTCAGGATCACTTTTTAGTCTCTCTAACATTGACATAAACCTGGGATGCGAGTCAAACCAGGCTTTTTCTAAAATGAGTCTGTAAAAATGGTATATCCTTACCTAATAGGTTTGTTCTTTGTGTGTGTGTGTATCCGAGCTTCAGTTTCACTGAGAGAGGCTGAATTAGACTGTATTCCTTCTTTTACATCAAGACAGTAATTTCTTAAGGTCTAATTTCCTTTAGAAAATTCTGCCAGCAAAACTTTGTGTGTGTAGAGTCAAAGTCCCTTTGTGGAAACAAAACCCACCACTATGTTGGCAATTACTTCAACTCTGCCAAGTGAAATAAGGCTCCTACTGCCACCAACCAGCTGCCTGAAGGCATGTGTTGACACCTGACTTCAGCTGACTGTTACAGTCCGCCAACATCTGGTGCATGGAGAATGTGCAGCCAGTAGTATACTACTAACTTGGTGTCCTAGTTTATCATACCTGTGCCCTGATTATTCTCATTACACCAAAACACATTTTTCAAAGCTGTTCTAACCTGTACTGGGGCTCTAGAAGCTACCAGTATTTCAGACACTGTAGAGGGAGTAGTCATCTCCCTTTTGGTCTTATGCCAGCCCTAGTGCAATTATTGGGATAAAATTCACCTAATGTATTTTTTCCCAAATGGGAAGAATATCAGAATCCATGTATAAATGCTCCCAAATCATCACTGTCAAAAAAAAAGTGACCTCCAGTATACCGATATTACACTGCATCTTGACAGTTGCGTATAAATACAAATTTTTTGTAATAATCTGAATGTGATAATCAACTTTTAAATACAGGTTGTTATTAAGTACATAAAGCAATATGGACATGAGAAGGTTTCTTATCATTTTTATTTTTTTAATTTCAGTTTTTGTGACTTGAAAACATTCTTTGCAGTCCATACATATGGCATAGTAGAAAGGTAATTGCTAGTACATATAACTAAATATGATTTTGTTGTTAATATATATATATATAGCCAAAAAAATGTATATCATAGCATTTTACAAAAACATAAGGTAACACAATTTATTTGCAGATATATCCCAAAGAAAGACATGAAAACTTAAAAAAATTGTTTAGGCTTTTGTAATTTTGCTGGAAGTACTTGTGGCTGGGAAGTGCCTGCCATCTTGCCAGAGCTAGTTCTGAGTTCCATACCATGTGCCAATTGATCTATTGATCTTCCAAAATCCACAGGTGTTGGCCTTCCTTGCAGAGGCCCTGTCACATCTACCCACCAACTCTCATTAGCTATGCTATTGCAGAAATCATTTTGCCAGAGGCTCCCTACAAACCCATAGAGTTTGTATGGATGGAAATGAGAGTGCAATTTGGCTTCTATTGTATTTTGCACCCAAATTCAGTGAATCAACTTGACCACACTTCCAACTTCTATCAACCTACCATATTTACTCAAATCTAAGATGGGTAAATACTGTAGTGGGAGGCAGGCAGCTGCTGCAGCTGTGACTCCAGCCTTGACCCAGGCTTAGGGTCAGAGTCAGAGCCAAAGTCACTGCCCTACTGCCTCTGCCCCTGCAGCCTCTGCCCCTCTACCTCCCCTTCACTGCTCCTTACCCTCCAGCTCTGGCCTCACTCCAGCCTGGGGTCCAGAGCATATGGTTACTGCAGGCCCTGCCTGGCCACACAACAGTAATGGCACCAGCTCTAGCCCCAACTCCAAACTATAGCTACTGCCACTACAACCACTGCTGCATTGCTGGGTGAGGGCCAGAGGATAAGCAGCAATTGGGGAGGGGTGCCAGGCCATGGGGAAGAGCAAAAGTAGCAGCAGAGAGGAGATGGTTGAAGGAGCAGATGGGGCAGGCAGAGGTGGGACAAGTGGGGGCAAGTATTGGGGGTGTCAGCATGGGGGGGCAAGTGGCAGAGTGGGCAGGAACCACAGGAGGGCAAATGGTGGGGTAGGCAGCAAGGGGAAAGTGTAGGTAAGCCAGGGGCAGGGATCAGGCTACTTGACACCCTTCCTACCTGCTCCCTACTGTTGCTTGCCCCACTGCAGCAGTGGGAAGACAAATTTAAGATGACCTTCTAATAATTAGATTCTATACATGGAAAATTATAATAAATGTATACATTTTCCATTATAGAATCTCATTATTGTGGGGATTGTCTTAAATTCAAAGTAATCTTGCATTCAGGTAAGTATGGTAGGTAATAAGCGCTTTGAGTTAATATCCAAATTCAAAACTTGATCCTGATCATATAATACAGTAAATTTAATTCCAGTTTAAGCAGTAACTCCTGGTTTTACATTAACACTTTTGTACATCTTTGGAACAAGTAAAATTTGTAAAACCAGAATGAACTATTTAAAGAGCACCTACTATTGTCACTTTCTATCAAAGAATAAAGTGTTAGATCTTGGTCCCACTAAAATCAACAGGAGCCTGCCATTGACTTCTGTAGAATATCACTTGGATTTTGCTATTGATTTTTATCATCAGGACCAGCAGGAACAAAATAAAAACTTAAACACTCAGTTTTATATTGCATTAGCATGCAGTTAATATGATGTCTGGGATATTTCTTACTAAATAAAGGGAGGATTTGCAAATTGCCTATATTTATTGTTAATCCTGTTTCTTTTATATTTCAGTCCTGACATTGCCAAGACCATTATGTTTTCAATCTTTGTACTGTCCCTGTTTTTGGGTATACTTGTCTTAAGCTACTTCAAATATGCAAGGATTTTTCAGACACTCAGATACGTTGATCCACTGCCATTCCCTTCCTTGCAAAATCATACAAAAGAGTCATCACAGGGCTTAAAGAAGGACCAATAACCTATTTACTTACTGTATAGGTGGCATTCTATATATAGAAATTATAAGAACACTGTAATGTTTAAAATAATTTAAGTATGGTTGGATTAAGTGTTGTTTTCATAAGCAGCTTTCCACATAATAAAACTAGCATGGTTAATATGTTATGTTTCCAGTTTGAGGGACATAAATTATGCTCTTATTCATTTCTTAAACCCATCTTTCCCCGGGAGCATCCAGTAAGCAGTATCTCCTCTTCACCAATATAGGTCAACCATGTTGCTTTTTTCAAATAACTCTCAAGACCAGATCATCCGCTGGGGTAAAATGGAGCTGTTCCACTGTGTAATCCATTTACACCTTCTGATTATCTGGACCTGAGATTTAAACAATTCCTTATATTTTGAACAGATGAGACCCTCATTTAAAAATATTTTTCAGAACCTTGGTAGATAAGACTGCTTTTAAAGTATTCTGACAACTGTGATTCTAATGCCTGTGTATTGTATTTTTATAGCAAATAGTAGACACAGCTCTGACAATGTGACCACAATTTTTGTACAAAAATATTGACTGTAATTTAGAGTCCCGTTAAAACTTGAAAGAACTTAGCTGTTCAAAAAAATCATATATCTTTCATCTAAGTGGTATACTTTGGAAAACTTCAAAAGAGGATCAATTCACATCACCTATCAAAGCTTAATAAATCCAGACACAGCAAACTTTATATTTCCATAATTATCCTAACAAGTTATGTATGAAGAATTATATTGTTTAAGAATGCACTAGATTTTATATTCTTGAAGGAATTTTACTCATATAGTTTTTAATTGGTGCTTAATAAATGTTAATTCATTCAGTAAAAATGTAGAGTTGGCAGAAGTTATCATCTGTTTTAACAGATAAACTTACAAGCATCAAACCTGATGTAGCAATTAAAAATTGTAACTAATATTTGAATACATTTTCATAGTTCCACTTGAGGATATATTTCCATGGCTAGCCAAAGTTTTCTAGTTTTCAAAGTGAGTGATTTGAAGAGTTTATATTGTTCATTGCATGTTTTAATTGGAATAATATGCTTAATGTTACAAATCCACATTCATATTTAATAAATAAAAAGTTGAACCTACAAACAAATTTTATTCACTTTGGTTCATAAAAGGTGTGTCTACATGAGATGCTGTATTGTATAGAAGACTAATGTACTGCACAGTAAATCATCACCATCTACATGTGCCGCACAGTAGATTAGTCTTCTACACGGTTGCCTACTACCTGTAGTCTATTCATTGTACAGTAACTACTGCACAGTAGCACACATGTAGACTGCTGACTGGGAGCAAATTGTTTCTGGTCAGCCCAGACAGCAGGGAGTGGGGAAACTGTCCCTTCCCCTTGGCAGCTGCATCCATGGGGCTGGGAAAATGTCCCCTCCCCCAGCTGTTGGGTCAGGGCATAGGGCTGGGAAGCAGCAGCTAAGGGAGGGGATATTTCCCTCAGATTAGGGCAAGGGACTGGGAGGCAGCTGCCCTGGAGGCAGGACAGTTTCCTCCACCCCCTGGAGACCAGGACCTGACTCCGGCACCCTCTGCCAGCCTGGGGCTAGCTTGAAGCCCCCCCTGACTGCTCTAGTGAGGCACAGCAGGGCTGAAGTAGCTCTGCACTGAACTGCTCCCAACGGGCACATGTGTAGATGCCTTACCAAGGAAACTTTACTGTGCAGTAAGCTTACAGTGCAGGGGTAGGCAATGTTTTTTGGCCAGAGTGCCAAAAAACACCACAATGCCTACCTTGGAAGGTGCTGGAGGGCTGGCATGCCAGAAAAACAAAATGAGGGCAGGGGGTACATGGCAGGATGCCCTGCTTGTGCCCCTTGCCCCCACCCAAAGTCCCTGCCCCCCGGCCCTGACTCTGTGGGTGTCAGCAGCTACCCCGGCTCTGGGTAGCTGCTGGAGCGAAAGCTGTTCCCAGCAGGGTTTGAAGCATCCCAGCTGCCTGCTGGGAGAAGCCCGGGCTCCCAGCTGGCAGCAGCTACCCAGAGTCGGGGCCAGCTACAGCCGGGAGGCTACAAACGGCTGTGCTGAGCTCCAGAGCCACGACATCAGCTCCATACCGGCGTGTGCACCCGCGCACTGGATCAGGTGGTGGGGGAGGGGCCTGAGGCAGCACAGCCCTGGTCTCTCCCCCACTCCCAGCACAGAGCTGGTGACAGGGCTCCAGAGCCCGGCACAGCTGTTTGTAGCCAGCCTGGGCTCTGGGCAGCTGCAGCAAGCAATGGGCAGGCTGCAAACAGCTGTGCTGAGCTCCACAGCTCTGGCATCAGCTCCATGTGCACAACTAAGGGCAAGTGTAGATAGCATGCTAGATGGATAGAAGGAACACAGAGCAGGTGCCAACTGCCAAGTTGTTCTTTGAGTGATTGCACATCTCTTCTACTCTAGTAGTGTGCCTTTGCACTCATCAGAAAGCTTGCTGTGGCAGTGTTCATCAGGCAGTGTCTACGCCTGATGTCTCCTTGTGCATCCCTTAATACTATAAAGGGAAGAGATGCTCTGACCTTTCTTTCATTCTTTTTCAGTGTCTATGGTTGAGTTATTATTCCCTGTGTGCTCTTTTTAACATTCTCAACAACTTCTGTAGTATAAATTAATATGCAGTAATAACAGTTAATTAGATGGTTACTACTGGTTATATTTATTTTTCTTCTTATCACTGAAGGGATTTACGTTCTGTTTATTCAGGGCTGTTCTGCTCAGGCCTTCATAATGCAGAAGTCCCTGGGTTTCAGATATTGTCCTACTTTTGAAGTACTGATATACATTAATGATCCCTGTATACTCTGCTCAAGATGCCTTGATATGGGACATATCAAAGAAAAATACAGTGTTTGCAGAGCCTTTAAGAGGAGTACTCAAAAGTCCCAGAAGGCATGCTTTGAGGGATTAGTTCTTCAATTCATCTATGGGCGCGTCCAGATGAGTGTGCACATGCCTCTTGCCCCATCTCAAACCCCTTTGAGGCGGGGCAAGAGGCATGTGCAGGAACAAAAAAATGTCCAGGGGTCTAAAAAAACCGCTCCGCAGAAAAGCCAAGCAAGGCACAGTCCCAGACTGTGCAACTGAGTCAATCCTCCAAAAGAGATGCTCCAGTGTTGGCCAGAGCATCTCTTTGGTTCTCCTGCTGCCTCCGGCCCCCAGCGCTGTCCAAGGTAAGTGGGGGTGGGGGGCATTCATGGGTGTGGGTGGGTGAGGGGTGGCAGGGAGATGTGGGGGGGGTTGGGGGAGTGGTGGGGGGATGTCCCCAGGGCTGCAGGGGGTGAGGACCCAGTCCAGCCCTGTGCGGCTCGCTAGTCCAGCTTTGCACCAGAGCGGGCCACAGAACCCGTGCCTCTTGGAGCTGTGTGACCTGCTCCAGTGCAAAGCTGGGCTAGCAAGCCACACGGGGCTGGCCCAGGTCCTGCTGCATGCCCCCCCGCCTGCAGGCACAGCAGGGCAGAGGCAGGACCTGGTGCGGCGCATGGGGACCACGCACCACACCCAGCCAGGTCCCTCCGGCCCTGGGGCCCTCTGCCACCCAGCTGGGCCGGGCCATGGTGGCAGAACCTGGCGCAGCACGCGGGGGCTGCACGCCATGCCCAGCCAGGTCCTGCCACCCTTGGGGCCCCTCTGCTGCCTGGCCGGGCCATTCCCAAGGCAGAGGGGCCCCAAGGACAGCAGGACCCGGCTTGGTGCAGCACACGGTCCCCACGTGCTGTGCCAGGTCCTGCCACCATGGCCCAGCCTGGGTGGGCAGCAGAGAGGCCCCAGGGCCGGCAGAACCTGGCTGGGACCAACACGCGGTCCCCATGTGCCATGCTCTGTCCTGCCACCAAGGGCATGGCCTGGCCAGGTGGCAGATGGTCCCCAGGGCCGGCAGGATCTGGCTGGGCCCGGCACGTGGTTCCCACGTGCCATTCCAGGTCCTGCCACCATGACTCAGAGCACCCCACTCCCGCTGCTACTGCTAAAGGTAAGTTATGGGCCCTGGGTGGGGGTGCTGGAGCCCTCCAGGGTGCCTGGGACCCTGGATGGGGGGGCTGTGGCCCTCCAGGGGGGAGCTGAGACCCTGGGCTTGGGGGCTGTGGCCCTCCAGGGTGCTTGGGACCATGGGCGGGGGTGGGCTATGGCCCTCCAGGGTGCCTGGGACCCTAAACAGGGGGGCTGTGCCCCTCCAGGGTTCCTGGGACCCTGGGGGGGGAGGCTGTGGCCCTCTAGGGTGCCTGGAACCCTGGGTGGGAGAGCTGGGGCCCTGTGGGGGATAGGGGCTCCGGCCCTCCAGGGAGGAGCTGGGTCCCTGTGGCAGGGGGCATTCCATGTGTTGGGGGGGCTGCTCCCTGTGGGGGCCAGGGGACCCACAGTCCCCCCAGGAATCACCCCACACCTACCCACACACCAACCCACATCCCTCCACACACACCCACCCACCTTTCCCCACACT